CCGCCCTAGCACCCCCCCCCCCCGCCGCGCCCGCCTCCGCGCGGCTTCCCACCCCGAGCGCGGCTGCGGACGCGGGCCGGCCGTGGAGCCGGACGGGGAGGGAAGTGCCGCGCCCGCGCGAGCCGCGCCTCGGAAGTCAGGCAGCGCCGAGGGCACCTCTCTGGGGTGCGCCGGTTAAAAGGTTCCGAGCTGCAGCAAACGGTCGAGTGAGAAAGGTTCCGCGGGCACACGGGTAGCAAGGGAGGAGGAGGAGGAGACAGCACTGGCGCTCTGCTGTCTCAGAGCAGTGTTTCTCAAGCTTTTTAATAAACTACCCCCTCCTACCTACAGTTTCAGACACAATTTTTTCTGCCCTTGCACCACAGTTGTTTAAACAACTTAATCATATCGGGTAGGCAAAGAAAATTTTGGGCATAAAAAGTACAAAAATAGAGCACTTAACTGAATTTGTTAAGTTTTTCTCCAAATTTCAGTTGTGTTGATGTACTTCCCAAGCTTCTCAACTATCCCTAAGGGTACTCATACCACTGGTTGAGAAACTGGCCCAGAGAACATAGATGCCAGTTCTCCTGCAGCATCATGATACTGTACAGCACCCCCTGTGTAGCTCTCGCCACCGCACAGACTTTTGATTAAGCCATTCCTATTGTATGCCGCATGGCTGCCAGGGCTCATAACCCTGTTATGAAGAGCCCCTGAGAAGAAGTTGGCCCCTTTCAACCTTTATTCTCTAGTCTCCCCCTGGACAGAAATAACTAACTGCATCCACTGCTACAAAAAGCCTAGCTCTGCAGCACTCCACCCTCTCCCCCTTCTGAACAGTTTGAAACTGGTCATGATAGAGGAAGCCACTAGAGAAGCCTGACCTGCACAAAGCTTGAGGTTTCGAGACACTGATAAGCAGTTGCCATTCATTCAGTCAAGTGGCACTCCGATTACTCTTCCCCATCCATTGCTATAGGAGTTGCCTCTGCAGGATAGTGCATGAGCAGTCAGGTCCCATATCGACAGCAATGTAAGGAGAGTTCAGTTGCCAAAAAGAGAGAGTGCCATTTCTGAAGGACAAGTTAAGAAACTAGATGGAAATCAGTAAATGCAAGGGGCAAGATCTCCTACTATATAGTGACAATATACACTACTCCACTCCCAAGACACATACTTATATAAGAGGAACTAATAAGAAACCATGGTGCAAATGTCAGACACAGGAAGAGTTAGTGAAGCATTTCTCCTACCTATAAGAGGAAAGATACATTTATTCCCTGTTACCTCAGTCATTCCATTCTGCTTGGGAACTCACTTCATGCAGTGTTGATCATTAGATAAGGAGATAGACAGTTTATGTTGAGTTGCAGAGAAGCACTGTGGGTTTACTACAGGAATGTTAGCTAGATGACTGTTCAACCCTCATAGTTACTCGGGGGTCAGGGGAGACAAGCTTCTTCTGTTTACTCTGCACAGTAAGAGCTACAGCCCTAATAAAATAATAACAATACTAAATTTGAAAAGCTTACTGAGATGAAGATAAATATGGTCTATCTGAAGGGGAGTCTCAAACTATGGAGACTGCAGAAAGCCTAGAGATTATGCTCTACTTATCCAATCCAAAGTATCCACAATGGAGTACAAGAGGGAAGTCATCTCATACGAGGTTTATGCAGGTTCAGCTCTATTGACATTACCCTAGTTACTACCGACACTATAATGAGGCAGACCAGTGTCAGTCTCAAGGGCTAGCTTTGCGCCAAAGCACTGGAGTTCAGCAAATGTTCATGGACACATTTGGATTATGGACTTTATCTGAATACACATATTGGAGAGGGTTCAACTGAGGAAGGGGGAAAAAAAGCCAGACAATGCAAAAACATAAAATGTTAATGTAACCTTTATTATTCAGCACAGTGTGTTCTGTGCATTTTAACAATTATATATATAAAATAGACAGTTGATAATGGCATTAAATCAAGCCTTCTTAACCCACCATCATGTCTCTTAAAAATACACATAAATGGACCTGGTACAGGAAAGGAAATTAGTATTGCAGAAAGTTATAATACAGGGGAAATTTTTTCATTTGTTCTTAATGTCAATTTCCTGGTTATTGCACTTTTTCCTATGCACTTGGTAAGTTTGTTACCTTTTCCTTTAACAATGTAAATATACATCATACTTTAAAATAAAAAAGGAATACAAAACCTAAAGGCATTACAATGGAGCTGTAGTTCTCATTTTCTTCTAACCTCAAAAATGTAACCGTTTTCACTACTGAACTTCAGTCAGCCAAAGCTCAATAGGCTCCAAAAATGACAGGTATGAAGTAAAAATAAAAACTTTCAACTTTAGTGCTACTTAAGCCCCTGAGGGAATTTTTAAATGCAGATGTGCTCCTGTTTTCTCCAGGAGGGGAACATTTTTTAACGTTAAAGTATTTTAAAAAGTCAAGTCATTCTGAGATCTTCAAGTAGGACCAGCAGGTCCAGAGAATGCAATATGAACACAAAGGAAAGGAGAGCAGCAGGGAACAGCAAGGGATGCAGAGGGATTACTAAATCCCATTCTGAAATTGTACATAACTTGTCACCATCTGTAAACCAATATAATTGTTAATATCCTCTAACCCTCCAAAGAGAAACTGTGGAGAGAAAGAGGCTAGCATCAGCCTTCAAAAAACTGTGTAAAGCATAAAACAGAGTAGCTTGCTTTTCAATTAGAAAGGAACAAGCAAGCTGTAGCATATGCTTAATGTAGTTAATAACCCTCTGAAGTAGGTTTAGATACACATTTATATTCCCCCACTCACAAATCAGCAACTTCCTAGCCTAAGACATGTCCTATAGATCCAGATATACAGTACATTTGACAGCTGTACAATCAGCAACAGCAATGGCAAAGTATCAGAACACTGGGGCCGAGTCCTCCAGGATCACTTACGATCCACTGCATTGAGGAAGCATTTTCTTGCATCTTATTCCACAATATGTAGTGTATGAAACAAAATCAAGCCACTTCCGTTCTGGACAGAGCAATTGCTGAAAAAGCTCCTCCCTTGGTAAGTCAGTCAGGTATGAGTGGTTCTTTTCTTTGCACAGCAAGCTACTAGCAGCTTCCAAGTTTAAATCTTAAGCTTGCAACTACATTTATTCAGTAAACTAGTTCTCTCATTTTTACATGCATCCAACTCACTGCCTCAAGAATAAGCATTAACCTAGAGCACCTGGTACAGCCACCCAATTAGTGGCAGTATGTAAACCTCACAATGCAGCTTAGTAAAATCTTTTTAGGTCTAAAGCCCACCTATGCATCTTTAGAAAGGCTTGCAGTGAAAGCTGGGTAGGTAAAGTGGATTTTAGGGGCAAAGAGTACCATTGGTTTGTATCTTTCTATACTGCACATTATGACAGCCTGAGGCTTTTAAACATTTCACTCTTTTGTGGAATCTTGTTCAACACAAGCAAATGATACTATTTTACTGGCACACACCACTGATTTGGGTCCACATACAATCCAAAGCCACCAGAATTCCTGTTAAACATGGAGCTTTTTCTAGATGTCTAATAGTGAGGGTATATTTACAATCTAGTGTTTTAGTATTTTATAGTACATCAATTCATCCACAAGCCATGAAGACTGCTTCATATGATAGAAATAAAGAACCCACACAAAGTTAGCGGTCAATTACACAACATTAGGAATAGCCACATTTGTTACTACCTTTCAGTCTGCTAAAACAAACACACTACAAATGGTTTTGGTTATATCAGCTAGTAGAGTCTTAATGGGATCATCATTCATGCATCTTATTTTTTCTCTGCTGTAATGAAGAGTTATTTTTGAAGCAAAAAGAAGAGATGTGAAATCTGCTATGCAACAGGTCAAGTGCCCAACAGGAAAAAAAGTGTGTAGGAAAATAAGTGTGTATTAATTGTGGTGAAAACATAAAACAATCCCAGGGGAATTTAAAAACAAAACCCCAAACACTTCAAGGTATTTACAATTAGCATTTAAAAGGCATAGGATAAAAGGAAGGTGCCACAAGGAGAAAGGTATACAAGACATTTCTGGAATTGCATATTTTAATATTATATATATATATATATATATATATATATATATATAAAAATTCAATTTTATTTAGTTTTATTATGTTACACAAACTATGTTTATAGCTGCAAAAAATACTGACCTAGACTCTTCTAGTTCTCAACATAGTTACTAGCCATCAAAGGACAAAGTAAATGGATATAAAACCAATTAATACTGTTAAAGTCATTGGTGCCATAGATAAACACTAAGACAGTGAAGTTCCTAGCAATATTCCTGCTTTCAAAAGAGATTGGTTTTTCGGTGCATGTGATTTATAGCTGCTGTCCATTTCCATTCAAGTTAGTGGAGAGGCTGCAATTTGTCCATGAAACTATGACTACAGTTTTTAATGCCACTGTCTGTAGTTAAGTAAAAAGCAGTGTTTTAAAAAAAGCATTATTTCAGTTATATTGCATGCAGAAGATGGGTTCAACTCTAAAGTAATACTGCAGGGTTATTTATCTCTCTCCTTTATTCAAGCTCTTTAAGAGGCAAAAGGTGACTGGTTATAATTTTGCTTTGTACCACCCAGTAGATTCCAGCAGCAAGGTGTAATACTTTTCACATGCCTGAATAGTTTTGCACACAGCATGCTAGATTTCCTGTTAAAAAGAAGCCACTGCCTGACCCACCTTCTGCAGTGGGAGGGTGCTGTTATACCTAGGGACAAACTGCCAAGTAATCAGTTTCTTCATGCATACAAAAAAGTCTTCTCTATTTCGGTCCACCCAGGACATCCTCCCACCCCCATGAGCACTTGAAATTATCAAACCTTTCCCAAGCAAGTGCAGAGGGATCACTGTGGCAAGGGGATGTTTTCAGAAGAAGCCTTTCATTCAGAAAAAGCCTTTCGTTGGGTATCAGGACTATCCTGCCCCACACACCTTGCAATTGACCCCTGATTTTTAAATATAACCAAATTGGACACACAAACCACCGCATCCTCCACTGAAGAATGGCATGCCTGTTTTCCCTTGGGTACTCTCTTACCCAGCAAAGGACTTTAAAACGTTGCAGAAATGTTATTTAAAATGTCTACAGCAGAATTTAAAACCACCATTGCCTTTACACTTGGTTCAAAACAAGGACAGTATTTTAGTTAAAAAACACACACTGGTAATTTTCCAGTGGGTTTGGACATCAGTCGATAGTTGCTAATAATGTTTTGTGTTTCTAAACTATGTGCAATTTCTCTAAACCATTTGTTTGAAGTACCCATCTTACCAAAAAGACTGTAAAAGAAAAGCCAGGTTAGTCTGGACACCCAACAGAGTTACTTGAAGCAATAACTTGTTTACAAAGAGTGATATTTCAGGTTAAGAGTTTAAGAGGGAGAGGAAGGGAGTCAGATAGCTTATAATTCCACGGTATTTCCATAGCAGTGGAATGTGGAAATCCTCCTTAGGTAAAGTGTGGATGCCTTGATCCTGTCAATGTAAACATACCGAGTGTTGTAAGAAGCTAATGCACAGCGACACTCCTATCCTCCCGCCCCTTGTAGCCTAAGAGCCCCTCCCCCAGGTAGTTACTGTCATTTGTCCCCTAAACCATCCGAGCTCAATTAAAGCTGGTGGATACACTAGGTCAACCACAGATAGCAGCAAATGGAAGGTAAGAGATTTTGTTTCAACTGTTAGCACTGAGAACTGCAGTGATAAATCCCTAGCGACTCAACTGCTACCTGAAGCCCAAGATACCTTTCCTTCAGTCAGTCTGGAGGGGATTAGCAGAGATCCCTTTCAGTCCAAGAGGCTTGGATTCTCCATCTTTTTCATTTATTCACTCATTTTTGTAATAAAAATGGGGGCCAGGGAACTTGTGCACTGGAGTGGAATTTTTCTGGTTGCTACTCAAGATGGAATGTCCATAATGCTCTCAGAGGCGAGACATCTTCTGTTTGCTCCAGTGCCACTCCTGTTACCCAGAAAGGGCTACTTCTTCAGAGAAGATATCTGCAAGTAGGGGGGTCAGAATTCTCCCATAATAAAAACAGTTCTTTCAGGTAGAATCATCTAACCCTTTGTTTGACTGTTCAGAGCTTGACTTGCAGAGTCTGTCCATGATTCTCTGCAGCATGGGCTGGACAATGCCCAGTAGGGGACGCTCAGAAGGGTCTCCATCCCAGCAAGCTTCCATCAGCTGCCAGCATTCCTCATCAAATACAGGGAGGCGCTCTGGGCGTACTCCTGGAAAAGAGAAAGAACGAACAAGGGCTAGTAACTACTAGAAAATCTTTAGCCACTTGGGCTCCAATTATGGAGGCCTGGGAAGTGTAAGGATGCATCTACACTGCACCATTATTTCGAGATAACTAACGCTATCAACAATGCGAGTATCTAAACAGCCATTCCATTATTTCAAAATAATTTTGAAACAAATGACTTATTCCTCGTAGAATGAGGTTTACAGATTTCAGAATAACGCCTATTTCGAAATAGCTATTTCAAAATAAGGGGTGTGTAGACAGTCCACTGCTGCTATTTTGAAATAGCCCCTCACCAGAGCCATTCTAAGTTATTCTTCTTCAGTGCCTCCTGGAGCTCTAAATCAAGATAACATTAGAGAAGCCTGCCTCGGACTAATTTTGAGGCTTCCCTGCAGTATAGATGTGCTATTTCGAAATAATTATTCCAGAATAGCTTATTTCGAAATAGCCATGCAGCGTAGATGTACCCTTCGTGTTAGCAAGACACTCCTAGTAAGGCAGACAATGTTGTGATAATTGAGCCTAGAACCTTATCCTAATTAGGTGTATACCTGTGAAAAGTGAGCCTAAAGATCATAAGATCTCACCATAACCTATCACAACAAACACTGATGGGAAAGCATATGAAAGGAAGACCAGCAGATTGAATTAGTCCAAATAAAAAACCCTACTGATACAACCCCAGGGCTGTGTGCCTGATCATCAAGAAAAGCATAGAACCAATCAGTAAATCAAAGCTAGTGTCTAAGAAACTAGGTCTAATCGAGGGGATGGGCAATCACACACAAATAGCTGCCTTTTGGGGTCCTTAATGAAAAGAGGCTTTGGAGAGAAGAACTGGCTATGGGAGCATGCTTCATCGCAGCAGCCACCAACTCCTGCTCCCATGATCTCTTGGGTCCTTGGCCTTCATCATCCTGAACCGGAGAGGGGGACCCAGATGAAATAACCCCTCTCTTGGCTCCACCGAAATACCAAATACTACCTGGGACGAAACAGGTTTGGACTTTAACCACACCTCCCCCCACCCCATCTCAACTAAAGCTCGCCTTTCTCCCAAAGGACAGTTATTTACCAGCTAAGAAACTGTCAGAGGGATTGTGCTTTTAAAACGCTCTCCAGTGAGAGAGAAAAAAAAAGGGATGTTAATTGAAAGTCTATTTAATACTTGGTATTTCAAATGCTTTCATAGAATCATAGAACTGGAAGAGACCTCAGAAGGTCATCAAGTCCAGCCCCCTGCTCTAGGCAGGACCAATTCCAACTAAATCACCCCGGCCAGGGCTTTGTCAAGCCGAGACTTAAACACCTCTAGGGATGGAGACTCCACTACTTCCCCAGGTAACCCATTCCAGTGCTTCACCACCCTCCTAGTGAAATAGTTTTTCCTAATATCCAACCTGGACCTCTCCCACCACAACTTGAGACCATTGCTCCTTGTTCTGCCATCTGTCACTACTGAGAACAGCCTCTCTCCATCCTCTTTGGAACCTCCCTTCAGGAAGTTGAAGGCTGCTATCAAATCCCCCCCTCACTCTTCGCTTCTGCAGACTAAACAGACCCAACTCCCTCAGCCTCTCCTCATAAGTCATATGCTCCAGCCCCCTAATTATTTTGGTTGTCCTCCGCTGGACCCTCTCCAATGCGTCCACATCCTTTTTGTAGTAGGGGCCCCAGAACTGGACACAATACTCCAGATGCGGCCTCACCAAAGCCGAATAAAGGGGAATGATGACATCTCTGGATCTGCTGGCAATGCTCCTCTTAATGCAACCTAATATGCCATTAGCCTTCTTGGCTACAAGGGCACACTGTTGACTCATATCTAGCTTCTCATCCACTGTAACCCCCAGGTCCTTTTCTGCAGAACTGCTACTTAACCGGTTGGTCCCCAGCTTGTAACTATGCTTGGGATTCTTCCGTCCCAAGTGCAGGACTCTACACTTGTCCTTGTTGAACCTCATCAGATTTCTTGTGGCCCAATCCTCCAATTTGTCTAAATCATTCTGTACCCTATCTCTGCCCTTAAGCATATCTACCTCTCCCCCCAGCTTAGTGTCATCCGCAAACTTGCTGAGGGTGCAATCCATCCCCTCATTCAGATCATTAATAAAGATATTGAACAAAACCGGTCCTAGAACTGAACATTGGGGCACTCCGCTAGAAACCGACCGCCATCCTGACATCGAGCCATTGATCACTACCCGCTGGGCCCGGCCTTCTAGCCATCTTTCTATCCATCTTACCGTCCATTTATCCAATCCACAATCCCTTAACTTGCTGGCAAGAATATTGTGGGAGACCGTATCAAAAGCCTTGCTAAAGTCAAGGTATATAACATCCACTGACTTCCCCATGTCCACCAAGCCAGTTACCTCATCATAGAAGCTAATCAGATTGGTCAGGCACGACTTGCCCTTTGTGAATCCATGCTGACTATTCCTAATCACTTTCCTCTCATCCAAGTGCCTCAATATGGATTCCTTAAGGATCCCTTCCTTAACTTTAACTGTTAGTCCTTCTTTGTATCCTTTATTAAAGGTAAAAAGGATTTTAATGGTGTATCTGCCATATCACTAAGCAACCTGACATCCCTATATACATCAAACCCCAGATCTTGTTTAATGTTGGACAAGCACAAGGTTTACAGTGACTTTGGGCCCATTTAGTCCATATAAATAATACAAACAGTGCCCAAAACAGTTTCCCCACAACCACTGCAGACAAGGTTTTAGAAGCTACAGAAATGTGCACTATCAAATCTCACAGCTGCTAATGGCAAGAGGCACCCAAGTCAAGTATAAAGGTGCATGATTCAGTTCTACTGGGAGCGGTCAGCTACAAAAAAAGGCTCAACTGGGGGGAGGAATCTTGTCCTAACAGCTCAGCCACAATTGCAGAAATCGGCCCTGGAACACAAGAATGAATGCACACCATGCTTCCTTTTGAACAATTCATGGCTCACCCATTTGGTGTAGCCTCTTTTCCCTATGTGGAAAAGTTGTGGACAGGAATTAGAAAAAAACATATAAGGCACGGTGTTTCTTAAACTATATTCACCACAGGAAATGTGCGCTACCAAAAGACAACTGCACTGTTAAACTATTTTGTTGCTTGAGAAGCAGAAGTTCATTGCTCAGAATGGGAAATGAGGATTGAAAATCTTTTACAGTGAAAGACTAACTAACTGCCATGCATTAACCATCTCCAGCACTTGGTAGTTTTAGCACTTAGTCAAACACTTGAGGGTGAAGGATTTTTAGGGCTTCTGGAAATAGCAAGGAATTAAACATTCCTTCAAGGATTATGCCATAGCTAGCTGCTTCTGGGATGTGGTTTACTTTACCTTCTAACCTTGACACATTGTCCTTTTGAAGCAAGAACAGCGTTTAAAATTGTGCTAGCACCATCGCAGTGATCAGCAGGGACAGGTTGTGTCTTATTGGAAGCTATTTTAGAATCCTGCCAGTAGCTAGAGATTTCAGTTAGACCTTAAGTGACACTGTCAGCATATCCCACTGAAGTTTGCTCAGATTCCAACTAAATCTTTAGAAACAAAAGTGTCAGATGCCATTTAATTATCTATACTCTTGGAGGGGGATAGTCTGCAGTGCACTTTTTACTCAAAGGCCACTAAATCCATAGGGAGACTGGGACTCGAAATACAGTTCCTACTTAAGGAAATATGAAGCAGGTAAAAAGGATTTAGCTTTCCAAGAGGTTGTACAGAGTACTAGATCACTTAACAGCAATGCAGCGTTAGTCATATATACCTCTTCTAACATTGTTCCAAAGGTGGTCTTTGCTTGCACACCTCTCAAAAGCCTCTGGTAACTTCACGTGTCCTGAACAGATGTACCAGAATAGGATACCAAATGCATAAACATCCACCGAGTTATCATATTTCCCTGTGGCAAACAAGCAACAGACAGATTTGATCAAAAGAACAAATGAACATCTCCATATATATCTTATAAAAAGGTGCAAAACTAATCTGAGTGTTCGTCTCACAACTTCCTGTATGTTGCTCCACCACTATCACAGCACAAAAAAACGTAAGGCCTCCAATCCTTCAAAGATTAACATTCAAAGCAGTCCTATCAAATTCATGGGACTATTTACAGTACACAGAGGGTAAGCAGATGCTTTAAGTTTTTACAAGATCAAGCCTAGCATGTTCACTATAAACACTTATTAAAACAGAAGCAGCTGCGTGTTACCCTTGGAAGGATACACAAAAACAGATTTGCTGTGACTAGTCTAATCTTGGGTGACAGGTCTGTGCAGCACAACAAGGTTCTGTTCTTGACTGAGCCCTAGGAACTACTGATAAAAAAAAAAAAAAAAAAAAAAAAAAAAAAAAGAGAGGGAGGAGTCTTTTCCCACCCAACTTAAATTTTTTTTAAAAGAAGGGGGAAAATAGTTTGCGTTACAACCATAATACGGAGTCAAATTTTGAATCAAGACTTACCGCATTTTTAGAATAGGAAATGAGTTTAGAGGTCATCCGAACCTCTGAATTACCCCAACTTTTTGTAGTAACTTATTCTGCATTTTGTATGAAACACTTTCAGACCCTAAAATACCACTAACCTTTTTAAAATGGTTTGTATGAGAGGGATTAAATACCGCCAATAGCCCTTCCAATGAATTAATGTGTTATTTCCTTCTGTAGGCTAATGAATCCCATAGTAACCTCTCTTCTCATAAAAGGAGGAAAAAAGTGGAGATGATCATCACTTAGACTGAAAATACAGGAAGGTGAGGTTAAATACTCACCACGTGCAACTGAAGTCTAGCACAGTTTTGAATATTTCCCTCCCTCCCCCAGAGTTAAAGGCAGAGTACAAAGTTTTGGGCCTTCGGGACTCAATCTGCAGACAGTCAATAGGAAATTCCATTCACCACCTTACCTGTGAAGAGCTCAGGAGCCATATGAATGGGTGTCCCAACAATACTGCCAGACATCATGGCCTCAGGCTTGCAGAATCCCAGGTCTGTGATTTTGGCTCGATTCTTTTTGTCAAGCTGTAGAGGCAGTCATGCATCAGGTGATGGTTAAACATGCTTTCACGTCTATTATTGGCTTGAATATTAAAAGAAACTTTACAAAAATTCACGTCTGAATTGCTGGGAATTTGCTTTATATACATTGCTCTGAATTACTGAATGCTCTAGGGCACTTGGACAGTAAGAAAACTAAGTAACATGACAAGTTTTTACTTGTTTATTAACTAGGATACATGGTCTAGCAGCGTGAGGACTGGGAACCAGTAAATCCTAAATCTAATTACAGCTGTAACAAACTACCCTCACACAAGTCTCCTCACTGCTATCTCACTTGCAAAATAATGATGCTTTTACAGTTCATAGGGACACTGTAACATTAATATTTGGTGTTAAGTGCTTTGAGAGTTCATGAAGAATGCTAACAAAGTGCAAAGCATTTGTTCATAAGTCATCTTACAGAAACATCTAAGTGAATAAGGCCATTATATAGCATTGACAGTACAGGCAGTCCCCGGGTTACATGGATCCGACTTACATCGGATCCCTACTTACAAACGGGGTGAGGCAGCCCCGCACTAGCTGCTTTCCCCCAGCAGACCACGGAGATGCGAAGCTAGCGCGCCCCCCAGCAGACCAGGGAGACGCGGAGCGGCTTTTCTCAGCAGACACCTCAGCTTGAGAATAAAGGACTGAGGGAAGTGAGGTGTGGGAGAATAAAACTGAGCTCTGGAGAAATGTTTGGCTAGAGTTTCCCCTACAATATGTACCAGTTCCGACTTACATACAAATTCAACTTAAGAACAAACCTACAGTCCCTATCTTGTACGTAACCCGGGGACTGCCTGTAAATGAAAAACAATTTCAGTTCCTCTTTGGCAGCAGAGAGAATAAGAGGCTTTTAGGGACTAACCAAAAGAAAGCAAAGTATTAAAAAACCCTTTCTCTTACCAATACATTTTTAAGTTTGATGTCCCGATGAACAAGCCCCTGACTGTGAAGAAACCGGATCCCCTCAACTACATCCAAGGCAATCTGCAATCGTGTCTCCAACACCAACCCCGCCTGAGGAAGCAACACACGGAGGAGGATTTACTAACCCTATTAATATAAGTTACACTTTTGTGTTTGTGAGATTTCTTTGTTCTTCTCCATAAATACTGTCTAGCTACAAAGCAGCCCTTCTAACAATACAAGGAGCCATGGGTGAATACCAGCTAATGAAATGGACTTTTGATACTAGCATCCTGGCACTTTAGTTTCATTAAGTTCTGAACATGGTATCCGCTTACCCTAGTCTGCTTAGTTCTTTTGATTAGTAACAAAACATGCTGCTACGCTCCCACTGTTTACTCCTGAAGTGGCGGCTAAATTGGCATGACAGCATAATGGAGGCAACCAGCACTGCAGGCAGCAAGATGAAAGAGATGGATGGGCCACCAGCAAAAAAGCCACATGACTTCTGAAAAAAAGCTAGCGAGACATTCCAAGTTGTCAGCTGCTAAAGATCAAGCAGTGCAGCATCTCTTATGCCACCTTTACCAACACAGGCCAGATCAAACATAGAACACCAGTCTCAGCCACATTAAAGCATTATGTAATTATTACAATACTGCCATTGTGCTCCGCTCCGAAAATTTCTCCTTCAGGAAGATCTTGGTTTTAGAGGACTACTTAAGATAGACATGAAATGAAACATCATTGCAATACACAATCTAGGGTTTTTTAGGTCCCATATTCTATCCCCTACTGTGTTTAAACCAAACTAGCTTTTGTCCATTTCACTGTTATACTGACATAGGGCACAGCATCCCACTTTGTTCTGTTCACAGGAGTTTGAAGCACCAATTGTGTTCAGCTTGGGTTTGTCAAGTTAAAGAGTTTTCTTCACTTTCTGGTCTAAATAGTCTATTATACTGTTCTGCCAGACAGTGGATGCACTTCAGGTTGACAGCATGGGTGAAGTGATTTACCAAAAGCACACTCAGCTGAAAGGGGTTTTTACACGTACAGTGCTGCAGAACGGCAATCCAAAAAGTCACCCGAACAGGACATCTCCCAAACAAGCTGAGCATTACAACTTGCAAAATTGAAGTACCAATTCCATCTATCATTTGAGCCTTAGATATTGACTTCTATTTTAAGGGACTTCTACTATCCAACACACTGGCACTAGAGTAGCCTAAGACAGGTCAACAGCTTCTTCTACTTTGCAGGCCTGAATTCTCAGCTACACTAAGGTCCCTTTACACCATGTCAGCAATGCAAGAGCCAATATTCCCTGGAAGCTGTGCGCTTGGGCAGACACCCAGGAGCGATTCAAATGCTGCCCAGCTGATTAGCAGGGCGCTCACAGCCACTAGCATGTATTTCTACTGGTTGTGCACATCCACACATGCCTTGGTGCACATAAAATGTATTCCATGCATAGATGAAAAAAAGTTAGAAGGAACATTGAATGGAGCTACAATGTTTTAGGAACTTCCCCAATTAAAAATGAGATTACATTTGTTCTGCACTATCTGCTTAAATGTATTTTTATGGTTGTTCTGTAGTCCAGATTTTGCAAATCAGGGATAGACTGTCCACTTTAGCATTAGGCTTACTGGCTATTTCAACCACAGACCAAAGCTAATCAAACCTTAATTTTACCTAAAAAACACAAAATCTACAACTGTCACAGATAAGTAATTTTCCATTGTAAGCACTTTTGAGTGCTGCCGAGATGGCATGCAAATGCACGGTATGCCTGTCATGTATTGCTCAGCACATATTTGCTATGAGTCAGTTATAAATACATTGAGGAAAAGGACACCAGAAAGAGCTAAACAGACGGATCACTTTATTCTCACCCTTAGTCCTGTATAGAGATCTCTGTGTAACCGTTCCATTATCAATAGGACCGCAATGCTGGAGCCTCCCCCATAGCCATAATCTATCACCGACCCATGGAGATCTACCAGTCGCTCATGCTTTGGTAAAGACCTGGAGAAAAAACAAACAAACAAACAAAAAAAAAAAACAGTACAACAGGTAGCCACTGTGACTATATTCCCACAGCCTACAATTCTGCCTAATTCCCCTCCTTCCCTCTTAAATCAAGCCATATCTCCTTGTAAATCATCTTCTAAGCCGGGGCTACTCAACATGCTGCCCACAGCCTGTTTCTTTGCGGTCCATGGGTGGGAGCCAAAACAAAAAGGTAGTCAATATAATGGCCTTCTGTTGATATGCGTTTTAGTAGTTAAATTCCTGGACTGACATTACTCATTAAGGTTACATCTAGACTGCATTCCTCTCTCCAAAGAGGAATGTAAATTAAGCAGATGGAAAATTCAAATGAAGCATGGATTTACAAATCTCGCACTTCATTTACATAATCATGTGAGTGCTTTTTCGAAAGGGTTTTTCGGAAAAAACCCGCAGTCTAGACAGGGTTCTTTCCTAAAAGAACAAAGCAAAACAAAAGCAAACCCACCTTTTTTGAAAGAACCCATACTCCTGAAAAAAAATGGGGTGTACAGGTTTTCAAAAAAGGTCCCCCCCCCCCCCAAAAGAACCCCCATCTAGGCTGAGCAGGAGGAAGGGGGGTTGAGAAACCGTTTTGAAAAAGTGCTTGCATGCAATTATGCAAATGAAGCACAAGATTTGTAAATCTGCCCTTCATTTGAATTTTCCATCTGCTTAATTTACATTCCTCTTTGGAGAGAGGAATGCAGTCTAGACAAGCCCTAATAGTGCTGTCATATGGGTGGAAATCAGGTAAATATTGCATTTTATTAATATCAGCAGAACTGACTTAAATGGGGCCTGAGTGTTGTGTAGTCTTGCCTTAATCTTTGTATTCATGCCCGTCAGTGTGAAAGAAGCTATTTGCATATGTATGTATGTATATGCAACAACACTTAAGTTGCAGCCCTCAGTGTATGCTATATCATTGTAACCCCTGGGATCTTCGAAAGTTGAGTAGCCCTGATCTAGGCTCTAAACAAGGGCAATAGGGCAAACAAGGGATAACTGGAGGCTGCTCATTGCTACCACCACCATGTTATAGCAAAGGACAGATTACTGAGTGCATGCTGTAACAGGAGGTCTGCGTTGCAGCAGAGGCAGCTCTATGCATTGGTTATATTTCCTACATTGTAGTCCCACTGATTTTTTTCAGTGAACCAGGGCCAGCCCACAATATTTTGGCACCTGAGGCAGGGAGCTGAAATGATGCCCCCATGCCGCCTCGCTGCACCAGGGGGCCCTAGCCCCCCCCCCTCCCCCCCAGTCTGGCACTTGAGGCGGCCGCCTCAGTTCACCGCATGGTGAGGTCTGCCCTGCAGCGAACATGGAACTAGCATGTTTTGGCAGAAAGTGCTCACTTGTCATTGAAGGGAAGATACCAAATCCAGAGCAATGAGAATTGTGCAGCTCTACGCAATACTAACTTGTACTTCACTGCATGAAGGCACAGGGGATGGGAGTATTGCAGACCGAAGAGAATTAGCCCGAGGAAAGAGGAGGTGGGGCAGCAGGCGAGCTTTGTCTGGAAATGGGTGACAGGAGAGGAATTGCGTGAGGATTCCCTGTTGTGTTCCCTCACTCTGGGGCATCTGGCATTGGCCACTGTCAGCAGACAGGATAGTGGGCTAGTTAGACCTTTGGTCTGACCCAGTATGGCCGTTATGTTTTTTTGAATAGTCTTATCTGTTCCACAAGTAGCACTGCCAGTTATAGTTCCCACTGAAAGTTGTGCAGCATTTAGTGGCAACCCTCAGCACTAAGTCACTGAGAGTGGCAGGGAACTACATGGGACCAAAGTCTCTGCCTCAAGCCATGCAAGCCAGTACTTGTAGCTACTGAAATTTAACCTGGCTCAGCTGACATTTGTAGATCAGAGGAGAAGTTTTACCAGTTACACACCTCATATAGTGAAACTCAAGTGCAAGGTCATTCCAGTGCTTCTCGTCTGGAGGGACAACGGATTTGAGTGCACATGGAAAATGGCCCCCCCAGCTATCACACAAGTACACCACTCCGTACTGCCCTCGGCCCAGTTCACGACCTAGCTTCGGTTTACCTGTGAATAAACAAAGCGTCACTCTGATCAGAGGTAAAGCTTCCACATTCTCCCCACTCTAGCATAAGTTTCTTGCTAGGATGATACCATGGGACAGAACTAGTATTTCACAGTTCAAGGGGAGGGGCGTGGATCCTTCTTGAAATCAGGCAGTTTAAATTGTTAGGTCAGGGATAAACTGACACTGGTGTAGACCACAATATTTATATGCATGCAGAAAAGTAACAGCTGTGGCTGCACGAGCTGTCTCTGGACTCTTCTGCAACAGTGACTCATGCCATTTGTGGAGGTACTAAACAGGAAAAGGGGAGCTTTATCTTCATTGCTAAGTCCATCCTTTGCCTCCTCTGACATTGCCCACATAGGAGACAAATAGCACCAGTTGTGGTACTGTGGGGAAGGGACACCTATCCATAAGCGAACATCATTCGCCTTCCAGTCTCCGGCACACAAGCCACAGAACTGTCTAACAAACGTTTTGGTCAGTACCCACAAAGGCGGGGTTTGATTCCATAACCATAGGGACTGAAGGGTGTGTATCCCATTATCAAGCCTACGAATCATCCCGAGAAGTCTTCCATAGTTTTAAGAAAAAGACAAAACAAATGGTCTGGTAGCACTTTATAGACTAACAAAATATGTAGTTTTCAGAGTAAGTCTTCAAAACAAGTCTCTAAATCTTTATCGTGCCTAAAAGTTCTTGGTAGGCCCACAAATTGTTTTGTTTTAAACCAGCCTTGCAAAAAATTCTGTAAAATTTCTACAGAGCTCTCCCAGTTCTGAACAGGATGTAAAGAGTTAACCAGTTATCCAGTAAGCATCAGCCTTATCAGCATGTTTATCTAGTAACTACCAGCCCAGCCAATGCAGCTTACCATGGCATGCTGCAGTCAGGGGGCTGCTCCAGGGTTAACTGGTTAAACACAGTGTTTAACAAGTTAATTCTGGTTAAAAAGTTAACATCCCTAGTTCAGCATTTACAGAACTAATTGGTTTTTTGCTATCCAATCATCCTATTGCTCCTGCTCAGACTTTCCACTAGCAATGTAAAAAAGAGTTTAAAAGTGTAACTCTGTCAGGGCTAAAAATCCTAGTGATTCCCCAGCAACACAAGCTGCAGGCTCTGCAGTATAACTTCACCCTGGGGGCAAGGCCAGTAGGGGTTGCTGTCCTACTGCTGGGGATGCTTCCCCGCAGATCTTCAGTATAAGAGTTATATTGTGGAGCCCTCAGAGAAGCTGACTCCCCGGAAGCCAGCATGTAACCATAACAAACAGTTAACCATTTAAATGGTTACACTTTTACATCCCTGTTTCCCAGTAGAGGATGTTGTGGAAGATGGGCCAAGTTTTTCCTTTTCATGGCCCTGCAGGACTGAGCAACCACACCCAATACATCGAGCCAGCTGGCATATGTCAAGTAGAAACAAAGTCAGAAGAGAGTTACTGATCCAGCCAACACTCTGTTATAATTATCTACAGCTAGTTGAGGAGTCCCCCTTGCTCCTCTGACTCCTGCAGGAGCAGGACAGAACCAATCCAAGACACACCCTCCCAAGAGACACTCGAAAGAGCGGGTGTAAGTGCTCACCGTGTAACAACGCATCCTGCAGGGACCTGCTCTCCAGTGACAGGCGTGCTAGCCGCGGGGCATGGTCTTTCCGTACCTTCAGCCAAAGGTCTTCTGTTTTCTCCAGCCTGCCTGAATGGCCAGCCTCTAGCTACCAAGACAGAAGGCCAGGGAGGGTATGTGAGAGTCATTCTACATGATCACATGCCTCACAGAAGCAAAAAGGTGAAAGTAAGGTAAAACACTGGAGTATTAGAGATGGGTCATTTCATTAAGGCACCCACTTCATTGCAGGGAGGACTCAAAGTTGGCCTGCCATGCTGATAAAGCCTGAGCATCACAAGCCGGAGCGTCTCCCACGAGGCAGGCAACACTTCCACACTTAGGACAGCAATGAGCTAACTATTCTCTTCAATGCCAGGCTTCCCACCCTTTGGCCACCTCAGCTGTGCAAGTTCTAGGGGCAGCACTGTCCAGAAACCCCCATGTTTCTCCTTATGGTGCTCTGCATATGCGCTGCCCAACTCCGAGTCTCACACCTACCTGTCGCAGAGAGGCGGCAAAAGCCTCATGAGAGCTGTTGAGCCTGGTCCGGAATTGGCTGCAGATGCTCTTGGCCAGTTTGGATGCACTGAGGCTCTCAATAGCATCCTGAGCTACTTTCCGCTTCCACTCCACGGTGATAGCAGGAGGGCTGACCCATGTAATCCGCTGAATTATCTAACAGAACAGGATAATAACATTCAACCAAAAGGCCAAATCTTGCCCTCGGGCCTCATACGCTACTACCTACACCTGTGGAAATCTTTCTAGGGTTCATCGAGGGCAGAATTGGATTAAAAAAAGAAGAGCAAATATGGTTCTTCAAGCTGTGTGGGCAACTCAGCTTTTACTCATGGCATGCAGACGCTCTATGCACACAAGTCCAGTTCCTTTTCAACAGCAGTGTTTTGCTGGGGCCACACCTGTACCCCAAGTTCCCTCTTGCTCCCTATCGCTAAGGAGACAGAGCCAGCTGCACCTGAAGTTCACTTGTAGGGAGACCAGTGCTACCATGGCTAGTATGAACTGTGAAGATGACAAATAGTGGAGTACCAGCTGGGCTGCTCCGCCTCCCCGATGATCTTTCAGTGCCTCTCGAGAGAGAGCCTTTTCTGAACTCTGCCAGACCCCCACAGCTCCCATGCGCAACAGGCATTGAGAATGCCAGCCATTCACAGGCATAGCTGGTGCAGCGACTTGAGGTCTGCCTTGTACAAGAAAGATGCCTTGTGTAGAAGGAATCTCATCACTATTGTAAGATTCAATAACTAAAGCCAACTGGCAAAGAAACTTAAAACTAGACTGTGACTAAGCACTTTTCCCCTCCAACAAAAAAATAAAAGTGAACTAGCTGCACAAAGCAAGGAACACCCATTCAGGTACTGCAACAGGAGATAAGGAACTGACTGCAGATGTTGCTACTCCCCTCCCCCCCCCCCCCCCCCCACGCCTCAATACCTGCAACTATGAGGAACAAGGTGGTATTCAGAGTGCAGGCTCAGTCCCAAAAGAATCCAATCTCATGCATAAAGAGTGACATTAACATGGACACTTAATGACAGTGGTTTGTATGAACAATAAATAGTTACATGCAAATGTATTTGCATGTAAATAGTAACGGTCAAGTCAATTCTTTGCTTTGTGAAGCATCCAACATTTACAAGACACATGATTTATTTGCACATTGATGCTTTGTAGAAAGTAGCAAGATTCTACAGAACAGACAAGCAGAAGTTATTAATATTTAGTATCAGCCTTCATGAGCAATCCCTGCAGCATTTGTAATCCAACAATTCCTACCTGTTTGAGCTGTTCCCATAGCATTCTGGTTACTGATGAGCCCGAGTGAAAAGTGACTTCTACGTGATAAGCTGCATTTAGTATCTGGAGTGAGGAGAGGAAAAATATGAGCAAAGTAGGAATGATGACTTGGTTGAGTCAGGTTTAGAATGGAAAACCTACCTAGAAAAATAAGAGCACTGGTCCCAAAAGTCTTATATCTTGTCTCTGGCAATCATATATAGCTGATGTTGCACACAGTTCCCAGCCTACCTGACCAGACCACTCCATGTATTTAATCTTTGCCACAGACTGAGGAAACTCAAGAGGGCAGTTGAGTGACTTGGCAGAGAGATTACACAGCACGGCCAAGTAATGCTAAGAATAGAATCTATGGTTCCCCAATTCTAGCCCCTCTCCCATAACCACTAAGTCAGTTCTTCACAGGTTTCTGTTGCTAATGATTTTAGTAGGGCTTGTACAGTATAGTCTCGCCCAACTCTTCCTTGGTTTTTAGCGCTACTCTCTTATTCTATCAGGATGAAGATCAAGTTTTGCTGTGACAGCCCAACAAAATTCTTTGTAAGAGGAGTTATGCTAAGACCATTCTCAGCAATTGTTGGAGCCTACCATACCTGTTTGAGATAATTGCTTGTGATATGTGCTGAAACATCCTGAGATTTCTCCAGACTCCTCAGGCATCTCTCTAGAGTCCCCACAAAGCTTTCACGCAAGTAGTCTACGGAGCTTATCAATTTGTTGGCAACCGCTTGGTTTAGGCGAGAAATGATCAGTTCTTGGATTTGCTTCATGCAACATTTAATGTCTTTGGAACTCACCGGCTCCCCATTCTCAGGAATTATAATGTCTGCAGGAAGGAAGGAAAGCTTTGTACAGACAGGACACACAGGCTATCACAATTGTATTATTCACAGTCGAACATGACAAACTGCTGCTCGTGTGTGTTGCAAAGCAGCTACAGCACAATCCTACTACGGATTTGTATGGATAGTGTGTAACCCCCCCCTCTCCACACACACACACACACACACACACACACACACACACACACCGCTTCTTACACTAATTATCTTGAGTTTTGATCCTTAGGATCCATCCATGCTATTGGACAAACTGCTGTTATCAATGGTCTGTTTCAACTAGCTTGCTTTCACAATGGGGACAGCAGCCCCTCCACTACTCCTAAAGAAAGATAGTAACAGACTGAAGGGAGGGCTTTAGTTTTGTTTTACTTCGGGGAGGCAGGGAGGAAATAGGTGATCTTCTCAAGTATTATGATTAGCAGTGTTCTTTCAAAAATGAGTCAGGAAAAGGCCTTGTGGCAGATGCCACGTTAAACAGTTTAACATGGTTTTAACTTGGTTGGGAGAGTCATGATTTCTGCAGTTTTTATATAAGAGGAACTAAGAATACCTCTATAGCAGTGTTTCTTAAACTTTGTTTCATGGTACACTGGTGTGCCGCGGAGAACAGAGTTCGAAATGGCTGCCCTTAAAGGCCATTCCCCTGCCTTTTTGGGGGGGGGGGGGGGCGTGCTCAACAAAAAAAATCCTTGGTATTCCTCATAAGAAAAATTATTGTTCAGTGTTCCTCCATCTTAAAAAGTTTAAGAAACACCGCTCTACAGACCAGACTGTTTAATGGTCTATAAGGAGCAGGAGTTTCACCCTATCCATAAATCAAGTGTTAACAAAACTGGCTTAGAAGTTGTGTAAGCTTGTTCTACAAGCATGCATCCTTTGTGGGCCACATACTAGATCTAAGACCCAAGACTAATGTGAAAGGCCAACTAGTCACCATTTGACCGCCAGAGGTTCTCACTTTTAAACAAAGTTAATTGTGTCCTTGTCTGTGTTTGCACCTCAATAAGAAAAAAATTAGAAAAGTTTTATA